TATATTTCATTTTCTGTAGAAATAATTACACAATGCAAACGTAGCTATTTAATCCTCTGACCGCGGGCGAATTTTTCATTTTTTGGTATGAAATCGTGGGATAGCTTTATTTGTTACGTAGAGTTAGATACAAGACCTAAGAATTAGATATAAAAGCAGAAACAAAGAAATATAAAAAAATTTTAATTTATCTTTTCTACTAAATTTTACAAAATATTTAGAACACGGACATATTTTACAAACTACTTATAACGCGGAATTATTTTACAAAATATTTAGAATGCGGAATTATTTTGCAAAATATTTAGAACGTGGAAATATTTTACAAAATATTTCTAAGTTGCCCGCGGCAACATAATATTTCTATATTTATCAATATAAATATTTCTAAATTTCCTCGTTCAAGAAATTGCTTAACTTTCTCCCATTTCTGGTTTTCTACACCCAGAATTCGGAGTTGAACCGCGGGAAAATAATTCCCGAGTCACATCTCGAAGACAATTCTACAGCTCTGCTATGTACTTAACCATGCTTCGAATTGCAGGAATCAGCTAAATCACGACGATTGATGTTGATAACCGGCGAACATGCCGAGCTCATGAAAATCACGCTCCGAACGAGATTGATCTGTGAACCGAAGCTAATCCACTAGGGAATCTCTGGTTCGCGGAATCTTCCTGGCGGATGACGCGATGCATCCGACAAGATTACAGGAATAAAGCGTGTCCTTTGTCGGCGCAACAAGTCGCGTTAAACGGCACTTCATTATGCAACCTATCGTTCCAGCCGATGTATGACGGGCGTCGAACATTTGCATAATGATCGGGCTTGCCTCGCGGTACGATAAACTGCTCCACGATCCAATGAGTGATTTTAGTTTCGGTGCCGTGCAATTCCACCGAGCAATTTTCTATTAGCGACCGGCCCATTAGCCCGTCTCGCGGTTGGAACATGCAATTTGCAAGTCCGCTACCGAATTGGAGTTTTCGTTGCTCAATTGTAATCTCGTTCTTCTATACAATCGGGATTTTTTTAATTCTAGGAAATGGTGCTTCGGTTCATTTTGAATTCTGACTCTATTATTAATTATAATATATATCAATATTTAAAAATCTTAGAACTTCAGTTTATCCAAAATTAAACAGATGCGATTTCAATGTGTTCAATGAATATTTACCGAGTTCTCAGCTTTATTAAAATTCATTCTACTTTAAGCTCCATTAAAATTTGAAAGTTCAAACGCAAGGAGCATCTTATAAATTGATATCATTATTTCTGGACAGTTGCGAATGTTCTGCCAGCAGTGCAAAAGCTTTAGTTCCATCGATACTTTCGATCGGGGAGAAGCCCTCCGTAATTGCGAAATTTCTCGTAAATTCCTGTGGCCCGAATTCGCGTCTGCCAAGAACGAGCCGAAAATCGGTCGACACTGTCATGAGCAACGCTCGCAATATATATTAAGGAAGAAATTTATCGGGCAATTCCCCTGGCTAGATGACCAAACTAAGAATTCTTGGCAGACAGAGAAAAGTCTGATATTTATTCCTCCGGATGGGAGATGGGGCGAGCTAACTTGTTTCTCTGGACGATCCCGAAGTTTTTGAATCCCCGAGCCATTAAATGTAGAACGGAACGCGACTCTATAATTAGTTGTTCCGAGGGATGGTCGGACTACGATATCATCCACGTTTGAACAGACCACCTATTAAAATAACACGACTGTCGGGTATTCGGCGCTGGCATGCAAAAACCGAGGCACATGGCACGCATTCGTTCGGTTTATCCGGCGAGAGGCGAAACATTTTTCGGCGTGACTTCGAATTTTTATTCAAAACCAAATTCAGCTTCTATTTGAGCCCTCAAATTTCAGAAAATTCTCACGTAAACATATTTTAACATCGAGTCAAAGTAACCCTATAAAATCGAATCATTTTGCTCTGAACTACCAATCGGAATTTGTAGATTTTTCAACATGATTTCAAATTTTTAATTTCAAACTAAATAAATCTATCGTAAAGTGAAAACTTCCAACTTTAATTTGAATCACCAAACTTTTGAAAAATCCTTCTGGAAATTATTTTAAGATAGACATGAAGTAACGCGTGAAAATCCGATCACGTTTATTTCGTTCAAACTAAAAATATGCACCACGTTGGAACTGCATAAACACTTACGATTCGATAGCAATAATAACAATTCCAAATACAATCACATTAAATCCACCGACAGAAGTCAAAGTAAATAAATTCGCGAACACCTTCAACTGTTTCTTCCGAAAACAAAATATTGGATCTTGTTAAAGTCTTTGCTTGCAGACGCGGGTTTCATCGAGCAAAATAATCTAGCGCCGAGGCGCTTCAAAATGGCGGACAGAGTCCTCAAAGCACCAGGTGCGAACTTTCGTCTCACCATAGTTTGTTTTTCGTTTACCCCCTAGCAAGATCCAGCACCAAAAAAGAAGTTTTGAGAGGGGCAGGGGAGGGCTGGAGCTGTGCGTACTGACGAAGCCTCTATAAATAGCGGGTACGTCGCTGAAATACGTGAAACGAATACGCGTGTGCATGCACGCGTAAACGAGGAAAAAAGAAATCGACAGAAACGCGACCTTAATTTACACGTGGAGTCCGGAGGGGGAGGGGGAGGTTCGAAGCAGCGATTTTCATTATCTTGGGATAATAAATACGTCGACGGGCGCGCGAATGTTTCGCGTGCCGCGGCTCTTTTTCTCAACCGTTCCCCAGGCTTGTAATCGCGCGAAACGTTTCCTGCAATTCGCCTAAACAACCCAGAACGTTTTCGCACGGCTCCCCCTCGCCGTGGCATTTCAGAGATGCTTGTTGTTACTTGTCACAGAATGCTTGCGCATTCGTATTTCCCCTCGGGGCGACGCACAAGCGTACACGAGCGAAATTTTCTTCTACCGTTGAACTTTATTTTATTCATGCAATATCAGAATAGACGAATTCTTCTTCACATTTAGCACTGCTCTTTGAAATGTGCGAGAAGTTTCAGAGAGACTCGTCGAATAGTTTCTTCAGAAAATATTCGAACAGTTCAGCTTACTTTCGACAGTGTACAAAAGGCTCGTTCGATATTGTTTTTTATATTTGTTTGAAACTCCGCACGGAGATAATGCTATTGTAAATTACGCCGTTGTGTTTGGAAGAGTTTGCTGGATCGTTCTATGTAACAAACGTTCGTGCAGCTTTTACAGTTAGTGCACAGAAAATTCTAGAACTTGAAGTAACAATCTCAGCTTTAAAATTGAATTTCTCGAGAACCGAGGATTACAGGAAAGAACGGTTTCAAAATGAGAGTTCAACGTATCGAACTCCTCGAAAATCGGTAATCGAGCCCAGTTCTGCGAAACGAGCGCAGTGTTTACACCTGTCGGCTGACGCACCGTTATGATAATTGCCGTTAAAAAATCAACAGCCGTTGCATAACCGGCACACGAGAAATGAGTTACACGCGTTCGACTCCCTGCAGTGCCCTCTATCTATAATTCCATCTCTGAGGCACGTGCGTATGCGAGCATAATTGTAAAATTCTATTTTGAACGATTGATAATTTCCTTTCTGCGATCATTTCATTTTTTGTTTACGCGATACAGAGAAAAACGAGAATAGAGATTATGTAATACGGGACTTGCAAGATTAAAGTTTTTGGATGGCGATAAATAAATAGATATCGCACGGCAAATTACCGTTTTAGATAATTCCGATTTCATCGGTGATAACTTTGATTTACTCGAGAAATACCTCCAACTTAGATCAACTTTCGTTGCCTACTCGAAACTATTTTTATCCTCTTCAATGTACGAGGTAATTGAGGTACCACTTGTGGCTGCCTCAACACGTAATTGTTGACTTATTTCTTCTTATCGCATTAATTTTATTGTTGTCTGTGTTTTGTTGCCCACATTTTATACTGTCCTATGCTTTTGGTACTTTTTACTATTATGGACCAATTATTTTGGTACTGTTTTGTTATTACAGTTCGATTATTTGTGAAAATAATCTCAAAATTGAATGTAAATTTTAAAGTAAAATGGGACTGACGAGGATAGGCTTGAGTTTTGATCTGATCGAAAATAAGTAGCGGTCCAACAGCTTTCAAAATGGCGGTCAGATACAAACAGAATTCAAATCGTGATAGCACAGCATCGATCCAGTGTCCCGAAATCCGTCCCAATTATAATTACATTATCAATTATAATGATCGAGTCTCGGCATCGAGAAAAACGACTAGAGAATAAGTAAGAAAGAAAAACAGGCGCTTCTTTGTTTTGCAGCGTTAAAATATCAGCTTAATTATACGCTACCCGTCGATTCTCCTTCATTTGCGTTCGTGACGCATTTTCGTTTTGCCGATTTTTTATAACGCACAATATTTCCATATAACACCTGACCGAACAAGTAAACGGAACCACTTTAGAACTCGAATGAAGCAAAACACCGTGTCCTTGCTTCTTCATAAAAAACGAGGTACACAATGGGTCGAAACAGGCTACAACACTTCTTTATTTTCTTTCCCGTTTGTCCTTGCCAAATTGTAGCAAAGTTAGTGCGTTTTTAAAGCACGCACGTTCAAGCGTACTGGCGAAAGTATTGCCTCAGTTTACTGACACGAAAATAGATAAGTATGCTAAAAAAAAGCGGTGAACATTCTTTGGTCAAATTCACTCAGAAAATGTTTTCAAGTTTACTGACTGAAAATATATTCAAATAAGTAATCCGAAAGATGATGGTCAATCTATGAATTTACGAAATAATTTTTACTGCTAATATTATAAATAAAAGATATTATTGCTCTTGTAAAACATAATTGAGATTAGCGAAATAGCCTGAAGGTAGACAGAAGAAAGGAAGAAGTGACGTCGAATAATTAATCGACGAGATATTGGTCACGAACGCAAGTCGAAGGGCAATCGTGGCGGGTAGGTGCGCGCGCGTAAAAAGGTTAGGTGCGTTTCGACAGCTGCCGGTATAGCAACGTACCTGGTGGTGCTCTTGAAGAAGTTGTTGCTCTCGCGGTTCATCAGCTCGCTACGGAACCGTGACATCTCGTCCTCCATCTTTCTCATCTCAGCGTCGAACCGTTCCCGTATGTTCGAAAACTCGGTGTCGATCACGCTGAAGTCACCGATCTTGATGGGAATATTACGCTTGATACCACTGTCAGCCATGATTCCTTCTTCTCGGACCGCACTTGTGTTCTCTTTCACCAAAGCCACTAAAGTGATACGATAATTAAGCACTACTTGCTCTCCTTTTCTCTCCTAGCCTCGCGCGAACGATCGCTTCTTATGGATAGCGAAAATCAGTTAAAGCCACGTACAACCGTACTGCGCGCTGCCTCGCCTAAGAATGAGCGCGGCTCACAGACTGCCCCTTAAATAGTCCCGACGCAATCGTCGCGCCGCTCGTGGGAGTTCGTCGAAGCTCGGTTAAACTCGGCAATTATCGGATCCGTGCACGCGGTCCAAACCGGCCTCCGGCGAACGGCGAGAAACCCCGAAAACCTGGCCAAAACCAGAGTTGCCTGTTTTAATCGATTATAATTTACTAATTCGATTCATCGACCGTTGCTAGCGATTTAAAATAGTCCATAAGTGACCGCAATCGAGCTAATTGATTTAAACGACGGTGCCCTGTAATTATTAATCGTAAACAACGCTAATTACCCGTCAAATGTATAATCGAACGTTAAATCCTCTTCGGTTTATGCAGTAAATAGTTCTTAATAAATTATTAATGTTAAAACTATGTTCAGGACAGTTGTCGTTTTAATTGTAGCAATGGAGCAATAATAAATAATATAGTGCAGAGCAAATGTTTATTTATAACAGGGTTGTAACACGTTGCAGCATGTATAATGAATCACTTGTATTTTTTACTGTACAATGACTCATAGACATTTTTTTAATTCACAATAGCTTATTTGGCAAGCCGTTGCAATTCAAACATTAAATTGAAGAAGCGTGCAGTGCAAAAGGATTGTAGAATTTTAAAGAATAGATTGGATGACTATTTTGCTGATGTGGATATTAAAAATTTATCGGAGTTCTTACTCAACGGAATGAAAATAATTATTTTATAAGGCGAATCTTGAAAAATTGATCACATTGGAAGAAAGCATCCGGAGTAGCATCTGTGGAGACCTTAATAAAACTTAACGAAGACCTCTGTCGGCAACTGGGTCACCACGGTAATCAAGGTCCTGCTGTTTCTTTGTCGACTTCAGAAAACCCTTGATGTACCGTGTAATATAATTCACCACTTGATATCGTGAAAATCGGATTGTTCACGATTAGGTCTTGTTAGCGAGAATAGTGTGAAAAATGGCGCCGGTGAGAGCACGAAGTTTTAGAAAATCTTCCGTAGTTTGATCGTTGATAATTAACCACAAATCTTTGCATGAGTTGAATTTCTCTTCTTGAGTCGGATTTCTTTTCCCGAATAGAAGATTTCTCGAACAGAAGAGTTCTCGGAGAAAAGATCAAAGAAAAAGTACTACTAAATCCTGTTAATTTGACAGAGGACCCGTAGAATAAGCTGAAACATGTTCGCCAATAAATTTTTCAAAATTTTCAGTAATCCTAAATCGGAGGAAATGAGATTCTTGCATTTACTTACATACGTCGATGTTCATCTTCGTGGGAGACAATCAATAAGGAAACGATCGCGTGGTCGTATTAGTCATCGTTTCCCGCGTAAAACACAATGCTTCCTCTGCGCTGCGAAATCATAACCCTCCAACGCCTACGAATTCTTCTCATTAGATCACTTATTTATCTAGGAGGCTTGCAGGCTTACGTACACTTCCGAACAATTTCCACAAGTGTGTGACTAATTGTTTGACTTCAGTTTTCATGCGTATTGCCTGAAACCAAAAATGGCGATTCTAGACTGCGAATTGTATGCATTCGTGCAAAAATTGGAAAGACGCGATTTACGATAGTAAGAAGATTAAAAGAATTTTAAAATGTCAATGTATTATATTTAATCTATTCAAGCGATTAAACAAAGACAATTTTTATTTCGCATAAAAATCCGCAATCTAGCGATTACACTTTGCACCGTTTTATCTGTCATGATAAAAATTAAGTAATCGAGGATTGCAGGTGTTGGACGAAAGAAAATCGACAATATTTCTGAAGGAGAGTCTCGAATGTTCGCGCAGGAAAATCGCGCGAGGAAAATCGATTTCGTCGTTCTCGAAGAGGCGTCAGGTGTTCTAATTCGGCCATTCGTTCGGAGAAGCTCGAAGGCCGCGAGTTATGCCGACGCGTCGAGGCGCGTAACTTTTTTTTCGCCGCATTAAATCAAGCTGCAAATGATGCCGGCGCTATTTTCGACGGTTGCAGCGTCACCGCGCGCCGAACTGAATGAAGCGCCGCGTCACGACGCCTCCTTATTGTTCATAAATAGTCCTGGTACGCGGCGTCGTCCGCGATCGCGATTTCCGGTGAATCAAACCGCAAGGAATGCTTCCCCGATAGAACCGAACTGTGACGTGCCTGCGATCGAGGGTGGCGGATGCCAGCAGGGGCTGAATCACCCTCCTCATCGCGAAGTATGGATGAATAACGGTGTCCTATATACCGCCGTTTCCTTTATTTCCTCGCGAATATAGATCGCCGACACGTAAGTCCGAAAGTTCTCGATGAGCACGCGTTCCTCGTGCATTCACGGTTCAAAATCGCTAGAGCAGAGTTTACACTAGAGTTCAAAGAATAACTTTGATGTTAGATATACAATTTTGCTCGGTGCCTCCTACAGAGGTCTGTTGGAGGGAAGCCATCAATTTGATGAAGATCAAATGCAGATGGACCGAAACTTGATTTTGGCCAGGAAAGTACCAAGTTGATCTTATCAACAGGTCCACTCGAGTGCTCAGTATTTCTGGGGTTAACGAGAGATTCAAGGAGCATGAGCTGTCCTCGATCAATAAAGATGTGACTGAAACAACAGCCGACACAGATTTCGCTCTAGTTTTGCTACTTAACATGCGGTGTACGCTTTCATACCGCAAGCCGAAAATGGAAACGGGGCATGCACGCTGCTGCGTTTCATAGCCATAAAACCGTTCTGAATTTCCTGTGCTCGAAAATATTCGTTTACACCTGCCGTATGCAAGCGAATGGAGGGAAACCGCCTCGAACACCTTATTAAACAGAAACGAAATAGAAGAAATCGATGCTAAATTCGGTGATTTAGTAACATGTAGGTCCTCTCCTCCGTTTTCTCCGTCCACGCCTTTAGAAGGCGGTAAGAAAGTTCGATTTCTTCAAACCTCCGAGGAAAACGTTCGTAACGTTTCTTATGCCGATGACCCTAACAGCGTACGAAAGAATCGTCCAGATCGAAGAGTTTTGCGAATATTTGCCGCGGAATTTTTTGGACGAACTTCACAGTTAAACGAGCGTGGATCGCGAACGATGGGGCCCGAGATCGAGATCGACGATAAAGTGTGTCAATGTCAAACTGCTCCCCGAGTGTCTCTAGACAGTGTCTTGAACTCTGGCCGAGAACGGATTCGTTTCTGGCCCCGTGTGTTTCTGAAACGAGCACGGAATCCTTAAGTCTCCGCTCCCGGCTCTGCGTGGGAGAACCTCGGTAACATGACGTCACCTATGTGGGGGTTTTAGTGATCGATAAAACGCGTCACAATGGTCCCTAATATGGATCGGACTCACGCTCATTACGTAGCGCGCTTTCTGTGCCTGCTACACATGTTTCTTCTTTTCCGACCACGTTCCTTTTCGAGAGATCTTGGCCGCCACGCGAAATGCACTTAGAAGGCAAACCGGTTGCTAGATGCTTTTTGGATCGGGTAATCCCCCTCGGGATCTGTTTGCGATGATCGACAATCGCGTGCTTCTGAGAAACAAATATTTCCCAAATGTCGACCGTGACCCGACAAACTGGGAAGCTCGATTCTCTGGAACTCTTGCAATCTTGAATCGTTTATCAACTCGAAATCCATCTTTCAGCGACACTTCACTTTTAACGTTCTTCTTCGAAAACATTGTAGTGCTCTGAAGCGTTCTGTTTAGCGTTTTGTGCAAAACTAGTGCAGATTGCACTTTTGATACGCATGTGATCTATCAATATTTTAAATGGATGCAAAATTGAGTCAGCAATAAAGTCTATAAGCAGACTGAACGTTTATACAAAATTCGAAACGTTCGCTTCAATTTCAAACAATCAAATGAATCAAATTAAAACACAAATTCTTTTTGCAATACGGGCATTAAAAGGAGATCAAGTCGACGACTGCTAGAATGTGGGAGAAAGCAGTCAGTAGCACCTGATTTGAGCCACCCTGTAGAATAGCTTCTGGTGCATCGAAAACGATGCAACAGTTACGTGGTCGTATGCGATGCGCTGGGAGAAGACGGAAGCGAGATCGTTCGCCGAGCAATTATAATCGGTATACAGGGCACGCCGAAGAAAACAATTAAAGTTGAGGCTGTTGAAAAGATAGTAGCTCTCCTCGGTACACGCCATCGACTATTAATAGCCGACGAAGTCTGAGAGCGGTATAGTGGCCGAGGCCAGATCCGACCGAAAGAATTCTTTCAGCATTCGACCCTTTCGACTGTCATTCCTGAACGATTCAATGTCGAGGGTACGGTCCGATGTAGCACGATTTCGTGACCTCTCACGCTGCGCCAACTTCCTTCAACGGTGCACGTCCGGAGAACAATAAAATCGTATCATCTCTTCCTTCGGTGCTCGGTGAAAATAGAATTGAAGTCTGTTAAGGCAACGATTGATTCCATACAATATTCTGAATTAGATCGACAATTTTGCTGTCGATTTATCCCGATTTTTCCAGCCAATTTCCTGATTTTTATCGGGCGCCTAAATATTGGTGATTAAAGAGAGACCGGAAATTGGTACAATTTTCGTATCTAGCAACTGAGCCAGAATAGGACTCTGTCTATATTGCAAATAGCAAAAATTGCAGAGAACAATTTTGTATCGTATGTCATGTTCTGCTACAGAAAAGTTGTAAAAACGCATCAGTGCAACTGCTAAGTGCACTCGCACTTTCTTCGGATGAGAAATACATTGTTATTGAACTGCTGTCTCTTGCAACTATCTCACAAATTTTTAATTATGCATAGAGATCAACAGTCTATTGATTAGCTCTGCGTCTTCACTAGATTATAATGGAATTGATCGATCAAACGAAGGAGCGACCGCGCTCTTCGTGAATTGGTATACAAAAATGTATGTTCGAAAGTGTTAATTTTCTGACCAGGATTTCCATTATCATTGTCAGTGTGCGTCGGCAGGACAGACGTTGGAGCAATAAAAGGTGATTTCATTCAATGTTTCGCTACCAAGCAGACAATGAGCACTTAATAGTCACTTGTACTTGGCTTACTTAGAACGATTGAATGAGGAGCACGAGTCGTTGTCGTCGTACGACGACTTCGCATCGGTATCGCTGACTTGAGTGCAAATGGGGCTTGAGGTTAACGCGCCGTGATGTCATTGTCTGATATCATAATGTCCACTTTCTATAATATATACTTTGGCGCTCGACTTCGACCCAAAATGCCGGCCTTGGATCCCCAGTTACGTAATCCGTCATCCTGCACAGACCTTGTGTTATTAAAAATATTGAACATAAATTCGAAGATTGAAGAAGATGGTCCCACAAAACTTGATGCATGATCTCTTTGGTCGTTTTGGTAACGTATTATGAAAAAATGGTACGTAAAATTTTACGGGTCGTTGTAATGACCAATCTTTAAACCTATGATAGATTTAATGTCTACGAAAAATCGTCGAATGATTTCAGCGAAACGAGATGTTGTAATCACAATGTCCGGCCATGTTGTTCGTTGTTTGCAAGTCGGTAAACAGAGGAACCAGACGGTCCGTTATGCCTGGTACCAGTTGGTTATCGTCCTTTATCGTCGGTACGCGTGAAAAAATGCCGTTACACGCATGTTTAATGTGGCAGTGGCCAATGTCACTGCCACGAATAAACCGAGAATACGTAACAAGGCGACAAGCGTCCGTGGTAAATTGAACTGATTGTGCAAGTGCCATTCTTTCATGGTCCGCTTTGTTTAATATACACCGCGACGCAGGTACCTGACATCGCGTGTCCACCTGCCAACAAGGAAACACTGATAGCTTATAAATAAACTACGGATGGTTGCAAACATCGGAATAGAGGAAGAATGTCCGCCGCTTACTGGAAAACTGTATCTGAACAAAGTTTCAATGGATTTGATTTTACTAAAGATTTACTAGAATTTACTAAAGGCACACGTAAAAACAAAATTAAATACAATTTCGACTTAGAAACATGCAATGGTATTTTGGATTAATTCTTTTGAATAGCAATCAATGAAACTACAAATTTTAATCGTCCGATATCCAACTCTGAGTTGATGTAAATTATATATATAATGAATCTCTTTTTAATTAAATTCTTAAAAGATTAGAAGAATAGGCGGTGTTACATGTAGTTGTGTGTAACGCGGCTGTATATTGAATAAAGGAAGGAAGAATTCCATTTGAATTGCCATCACTTGTCGCGCTGCTTGATTGCTCTTAAGTCCCCCTTGCGTTTACCGATGGTACTAAATTAACGTCTTGGCGAAGGCGAAGTTTGTCAACGACCATGGAGGGACGCGTGAAAACTGCTCCGGGCGGACGACGAAGGAATGCCGATGAAGATCGAGTGAACGCGAGGAAACCATTCGACAAAAAGAAGTACAGAGCGCAAAAGTACAGTAACAAATACAAAAGTATGTGTCCACAGCCATGCAAGCAGCATGCGTATAGGTTAGTTGTACGATCGAATGTTTGGGATCATTGTACTGATCTTGATTGCTACGATATTTTTGCAGTTAATCAATGGGAAGAGCGCAGAAAGAAGGCGATTTTACGAAATTATTACAAAGACCTCGACAAAAGCCAACGTCAGGATCCAAAATTTTCATTGAAAACCGCTAATCAGAATGAAGACAATCAACCGTATGTATTTTCCTATTTTTCTTCTTATAAATAATTATAAAACTAATGTGAGTGAATTTACTGTTTTCATAGAACGAAGAAAGTAAGTGCATTTTATAAAGCTAAACAAGAATATCTGCGTAAGAAGGATGAGAAGAGGAAAAGGATAGAGGAGATTGTACGAACGAAGGCAGAAAGACAAGAAGCGCTCAACAAGTACAAGCAAAAGCGAACGCAAACCTATAAGAAACTTTCGAAAAAGACCAAAAAAGGGCAACCTGTAATGAAAGACAGGTTGGAAATGTTGTTGGAAAAAATACAGAATCAGGTATCGAACTAACGCTTTCTGAAGCCTTGATGCAGATGTATTCGTTATGAAGACTCAACCATCTTCTTTCTTATGTAAATATACATCGACATGAATATTCAATAAAAGAGTATTGTTTTGTAAAAATAAATTGTATTACAGACCTATAATTCCCAAAGTATCGCGGAACTTGTACATCTAATTGCAAACTCAATATTATTCGGCTTGATAATTTTGCATCGATTACCGACATTTTGCCGGTAGCGCCGTGACCGCCAATTATAGTGACTACAATTTAGTGGTTAGATTCAATTAAATGGTAAAGTTCATAAAATGAATAACATTACTAGCAAAGAAAGCAAAAACAGTGAATTAAATGAGCTTGGTAATGCATCTCAATTTATAATGAGCTTGATAACGCATCTGAATTAAATAACAATATGATATTTTACCATTACGCTAGTCCCGGACATAGAAAAATCGGCTGACATTCAACGTGTCAAGTGATCTGTTGATAAAGCATCATCATCATCTTCCTCATGATCCGCAATAGTTAAAGCAGCAAACGGTACTTATTTGTGTAAAATAGTAAACAGATAACGATTGGTATGTTAATGATAAAAATGTTAACAATCGATGCGATTTTCCGCGATTCGAAATACGAAATTGGCTGCGCAACGGGCAGAGCGCAGGCGCAGTGGCATTTGACGGGCAGCCGTCAGCTAGTCAGCGGTTGCAAATGGCGACAGCCACGAAATCTCTGGCACCGACTCGCGAATAGTTTCACGCCTACCGAGTGCTGCGTGATCGAGCCGTGCGTGAAAGTTACCCTAACTCAGATCGGTATGTACACGAAACTGATCGTATAATCGGCGCGCACTGCGTATAACCTCTCGCCATCGAAAACCATAGTCGCGCTTGGTGGCAATCGCCTCCTATACGCGACAGCTATTTTTCGGGCAGATAAAAAGACACTGTTTCGGCTTGTCTCTCCCGTTCGAGACACTCGAATATCGATGCACCATGATCTCCGATTAATCTCGCGGCGAGCGTTGCCACGATTCGCGGTCAGACGACCCGAAAAGTTTTCACGTAACGGGTGCCACTATCAACGTTAGCACGGCACTGCTGTCAAAAAGTGTTTGACCAGCGGAATCTAGGACGCGGTACCGGCTTAATCGTTCGATTTTCCTTTCGAGCGTCTCAATATTCCGTTCGTTTTCGTGCCGCTTCATCTTCTCGATTTCTCTCCCTTTCGTTCGCCGTGCCTGGCTTCGATAGTCCAATATTCAACACCCGAATCCGATGCACCGAATGATTTTTCGAAGTTGCTCTCGGGACCGAAGGGCTCGTCGGCTCGAGCACTCTTAATCAGCGAATTGCGTTCGGACCGCTTTTTTTTGAGCTTCGTTCCCCTTGTACGTCGACTCGGTGTCATTAAATGATTGTGTACTGTGATTCACGAAATAATGTGTTAGATACTTGGGAACCTACTACTGTATTATATATTTTCACTGTTGCAAGTAGAAACAACTGTTTGAGTCTATTTGTAAAATTTAAAGAAAATTTTTTCTCATATCATTCACTCCTATTTGTTGATGATGCAATATTATATAGTATATTTTCATTGAATTTTGTTGATATAATTATGGTAGATACAATTCTCAGCAGCTGATGCAAAAGATCGAACCATTGAATTGCTAAAGAATATGCATTATTGATGTGCTCTTGAGTACCACATGAGTACCTTTCAATGTGCTTTGCTTCACAGGTGGTTTTTAAGAAGAAGACAAAATGCCGGCTGTGAGAGGAGATGGAATGCGTGGACTGGCTGTGTTCATTTCTGATATCAGGAATTGTGAGTTAAATTAAATATACCTATCATACAAGTTCATTTTATATCCTAGCATTAAATTGTATTTAATTCTATAATGGACGTGTTTCTAAGTAATATTACAGTATTAGATTATCAAGAACATAAGTTTATATTTGGTTCATTGAAATTTTTTCCCATCTTCTATCCATTCAGAGATACGATGCCATTGAAACTAATATGACATGCAAAATATTTCAAGCAATCCAGAGTAGGAGACAGGGGGCGGAGCTCTGATATAGTCATATCTCTGTGATTATAGTTTGTCTTTTGTACACTAATATGTAATACTTGGCATAATGTAATAAATGTCTATCAGAGCTTACACTCTGAATTCCCTAAAGAATTAAAAAAATTACGAATAAGTAGTAATTTATCGTACATACAATGTAGATTGAAAAATCTAGCAGATATAGAGCAAATCAATACATGCATACTTTGATGCCAGTCCAAGTGGCATGCAGCCACTATACTTTCCTATGAAAACTATGACAAATGTATACTTGTACATATAATATTTACATATATTCTGTATGTATTAATACATTGTGCAATAAATTATATATAAATTCTAAAATGTAATATAAATGAATAAACATTGGTCTCACCAGGTAAAAGTAAAGAAGCAGAAATCAAGAGAATAAACAAAGAATTGGCAAACATTCGGAGTAAATTTAAAGGAGATAAGCCATTAGATGGTTATCAGAAAAAGAAATATGTTTGTAAGCTCCTTTTTATTTTTCTCCTTGGTCATGATATTGACTTTGGCCATATGGAGGCTGTCAATTTACTTTCATCCAATAAGTACTCAGAAAAACAAATTGTGAGTATCAATCTCTTAACAATATACTGTAATTTTTGTGGAAAATTTAATTGCACTATCTAAATATTTTGCTTGTTTCAGGGATACCTTTTCATATCAGTTTTAGTAAATACAAATAGTGATCTCATTAAGTTGATAATTCAGAGTATAAAGAATGATCTTGCATCCCGTAATCCAATTCATGTTAATCTTGCTCTTCAATGCATTGCCAATATTGGCAGTAAGGAAATGGCTGAAGCTTTTGGTAATGAGATACCAAAATTACTTGTATCTGGGTAGGTTCTTGTAACTTTTTCATTAATGTAGCTCATAATATTACGAAAACGTTACTAATATTTTTATTATTTTGCATTAACAGAGATACTATGGACGTAGTGAAACAAAGCGCGGCACTGTGCTTGTTAAGATTATTGCGTACAGCGCCAGATGTTGTCCCTGGAGGAGAATGGACTTCGCGTATAGTTCATTTATTGAACGACCAACATCTTGGTGTTGTCACCGCGGCAGCATCCCTAATCGATGCTCTTGTAAAAAGAAATCCAGACGAATACAAGGGATGCGTTAGCTTGGCAGTCTCAAGATTGAGCAGGGTATGGCTTTGCTTATTAATCCAGCGGATAGTTCAAGGATAGTTCTTTGATATTTACTCTGTCTCATTAGATTGTGACATCAAGCTACACAGACCTACAGGATTATACATATTATTTTGTGCCAGCACCATGGTTGTCCATTAAATTACTGCGATTACTGCAGAATTACACTCCGCCTGGTATATCATCTTGATTTTATTTTTTGACTAAATTGTAAGTGCCTAAAGAGCGATTTTAATTTTTAATTTAAATATTTACATTTTAACAGCCGAGGATCCAGGTGTGAGAGGCAGATTAAATGAGTGTCTAGAAACCATACTGAACAAAGCGCAGGAACCACCGAAATCAAAGAAAGTACAGCACTCAAATGCAAAGAACGCGGTGTTATTCGAGGCGATTAGTTTAATTATACACAACGACAGCGAACTGCCTTTATCGGTTAGGGCGTGCAATCAACTTGGCCAATTTCTTTCAAATCGCGAGACTAATCTTCGCTACCTGGCTCTGGAGTCCATGTGTCACCTGGCCAGATCCGAGCTTTCGCATGACGCTGTAAAAAAGCACCAAGAGGTCGTTATCCTTTCTATGAAAATGGAGAAGGACGTATCCGTTAGGCAACAAGCTGTTGACCTCTTGTACGCTTTGTGCGACAAGAGTAACGCGGAGGAGATAGTACAAGAGATGTTGAACTATCTTGAAACGGCCGACTATTCGATTAGAGAAGAGATGGTGCTAAAGGTTGCAATTTTGGCTGAGAAGTACGCTACCGATTATACTTGGTACGTTGACGTGATATTGAATCTCATTAGGATAGCTGGTGACTACGTATCGGAGGAAGTATGGTACAGAGTCATCCAGATAGTCATTAACAGAGACGACGTGCAAGGATACGCGGCGAAAACTGTGTTCGAGGTGATTGTTTGCGAGTGTAATTAATTAATGAGTACTCGGATGCATTAGTAGTTTGACTGAAACCTTTCATCTTTGTTCGACCAGGCTTTGCAGGCACCAGCTTGTCACGCAAATATGGTCAAAGTTGGTGGTTATATACTTGGCGAATTTGGAAATCTCATTGCTGGCGACCAACGTTCATCCCCAGCCGTACAATTTCAGTTACTACATTCCAAAGTAAATTTTATATTTCTCTACGCTAATAACCGTGTATTCAATATATTAACACTAACTCTAATTTTAGTATCATTTATGCTCCTCAATGACTCGAGCATTGTTGTTGTCGTCGTATATCAAATTCATTAATCTGTTCCCTGAAATGAGAAGCCAGATACAAGATGTGTTTCGACAACACAACAATTTGCGTAGTGCGGACGCGGAACTGCAACAGAGGGCTTCGGAGTACCTGCAACTAAGTATTATTGCATCCAGCGAGGTTTTGGTAAGTATATATAATTTATATTATTTTAGAACGTACAACTAAAATAGTTCTGATTTTTTTAAAGGCTACCGTTTTGGAAGAAATGCCCGCATTCCCGGAAAGAGAATCCTCTATTCTCGCGGTGTTGAAGAAGAAAAAACCTGGCCGAGTGCCTGAAAACGAAATTAGGGAAAGTAAAAGTCCTGCGCCGAATGCCAACCATCACGCAGAAGCGCCTGCAGTCGCTGCAGGAACTGTTAACAACACATCAGCAGATTTGTTAGGTCTTTCCACACCGCCATCTTCTCAGCCAGCCAGCAATACAGGTGTGCTACTGGACGTGCTGGGAGACATCTATAATATGTCGAACAAAGTCGGTGCTACAAACGGTGCCCAAAACACGTACAATCCTAAAAAGTAAGACACATTCTTCAAATTACAGCCAGGTTCAACTTTTCTTCTTTTAGTTGCGCCAATCTAAGAATTCTCGATGTGCTTCCAGGTTCGTTTGTAAAAACAATGGTGTCCTATTCGAAAGCGATCTGATTCAGATCGGAGTAAAGTCGGAATTTAGGCAAAACTTGGGACGCGTCGGTCTGTTCTACGGCAATAAGACTCAATATGCTCTTCACAGTTTTCAAACTCAGCTCTCCTGGACGGAGGAGAACCAAGCGAAACTAGCCGTGCAAGTAAAGCCAGTTGATCCGGTGCTGGAGGCTGGCGCTCAGATACAGCAAATGATTAACGCGGAATGTATCGACGACTATGGCGGTACGGCACGCGTTGCATAACGTTCTAAGAACCATTAAATAGACATGCGATTCAATTGAACGTTGCGGAGATGTCATTAAATTGTTTTCCTCTTATACAGATGCGCCGAGTATGCTCATATCTTTCATTTACAACAACGTGCCACAAAAAATTACGATGAAACTACCATTGACGATCAACAAATTCTTTGAACCGACGGAAATGAACGGGGAATCGTTCTTCGCGCGATGGAAAAACCTCGGAGGGTATGCAAATGAATTTATTTAATCAAATTTTCAAGGTCATGTTATTTTCTTGCAAAACAGGTTTTTATTATATCATTTAGTGGTTAAAGAGATACATGTTCGAATGACCTTCGGATGACTTTGAGCGCAAAACAAACAACATACACTAGCGATTTTCGCTGACAGTAAACGTATTAAACGAAAACATTATTTTCTAAAAATCGAATTTATGTTGCAGAGCCAATCAACAGCGTTCGCAAAAGATCTTCAAGGCTCAACAACCAATAGATCTCGCGCAGGTACGCACGAAACTGCAAGGATTCGGAATGCAGTTGCTCGACGGTATCGACCCTAATCCTGATAATTTCGTCTCCGCGGGTATAGTACACATGAGGGCACAACAAGTAGGATGTTTGCTACGTTTGGAACCTAATAAACAAGCACAGGTAATCTCTAACGATATCCCCAATTTGCTTAAATTGCCCTACGCCTTTTGATTTCCAAAATATTTAAAAAATATAACTCTCCCACATCTTATTCGCAGATGTTCCGTTTAACGGTGCGTTCGAGTAAGGAGTCGATGTCAGTAGAGATCTGCGACCTGCTGGTGGACCAATTTTAAACGGCCTAGCAGGCGTGAAACTATTCTAAGGTACCATTAAACAAAAAGAAAAAAAAACACACAGAAACGCCGTGGGAAGACATATCGTGATTATAAAAGGATGTCGTCTCTCGACGTTCGAGAAAGATACTGATGATTACTTGTTAAGAGATATTCGTTGTACCCAAGCTTACGCTCACAGCGCGGTCGTAAGAACTGAATCCCTTGTGTAGACGAAGCGTTGTTACCACATATAATCCCGAAGACAAAACGCAAGGCATAGGATTTCGCCGGAAAAAAAACCATACACAGGTACACACAATACACAATCAACGTTATCGCGTATAATTATCGCATATAATTGCGTGCATGAAAAGCAAAATGAAAACGAAAAAAAAAATGAAACGTCAAACCAAACAACGTATGCAATGTCCACAAAAGCGCGTGGACCACATTGGTCTACGAGCGAAGGTAATTGACTATAAAGATTACCTTTGTCATCTTCTTCTCTCTTTTCGTTTGAAATTCAACCTTAGCGGAGGTTATCCAATGACGTATCGATGTTTCTGCCACGAGTATTAGCAAACTATGTTCGGGGACAGCATCCGATTATCGACACAGATTTTTTACAAGAGATTTCTAATCAAGTACTCGTTCGTTCTTTTTTGTAATCAGTTTTACACACCGAGCTGCATCGCCTCCAGCGATTCCATTGTTATCGGCCCGCGCAGTTGCGTTCTCGTGGCGCGCTCCTCCATCTACTTCGTTTCGTACCGACTTCGGTTTCTGAGATTATTATAATTAACTATCATTGTTGCGTCGGCGAGAGTAAATTTGGGCACGATGACGATAGTTGTATAATATTAGTTGTTTATCGTAGATTTCCTTGTATTTAACGGAGCTCAAAATTTCTCTTGTAATTAGTAGGTTCGACGTCATCGCTCCTGTCCTGATCCCCTCACCCTCTGTTCCGCTCCCCCCCCCCCCCCCCCCCCCCCCCTCCCCCCCTCCCCCCCCCCCCCCNTAACGGAGCTCAAAATTTCTCTTGTAATTAGTAGGTTCGACGTCATCGCTCCTGTCCTGATCCCCTCACCCTCTGTTCCGCTCCCCCCCCCCACTCCACCCCATCGTTCTCCCTCTACCCCCCTCGCCCCA